AAGGGCTTATTTTCCGTAGAATCACGTCTAGACTGGCACTTTTCTCCGGCTTATCTCCAAGCCGGAAAAAAGTGGCAGCCATGTTAATGCAAATACTGCGGGGGATATTTAAATCCCCCGCGGATTTTGCTATTCCGATGTGCTACATTAGCATCCCTTTTCCGGAAAGAGGTGCCAATGTAGACACAGCCCCACAGTTGAACCATGTCACCTGACTCAGGCTTGCGGGGCTTGGGTGGGGGGCTATTTAACTGTAGTGTAGACATTCGGGTTTGGGCTGGAGCCTGGGCTTTGGGGTCCCATGAACATCCCAGAGTCCTGGCTCCAGCCTGATCCAGAACATCTACTCTGCAATTAAACAGTGTTCCCAAAAGATGGTCTGAAATGACTGTCGGCATAGGGTATTGCTGCACCTCCCGGCTTGAAGTGGTTTCCATCATATATAGGGTTAAACTTTACTGTTTGGTTCAATGACTCTCCACTCCCCCCACTACACAAATTGTTCCAGCGCTGCTGGCTGTAGGCTGTAATTTTAAGTGTTTTCTAGCTCCTGTCCTACACTTTACCATGAGACACAGTGCTTGTGCTGAATGTAGAGGATTACATGGGAAGACTGATTTACTGGTGGTGACTATCCTAGACCATGAGCCAGTCTCCTTTGGTCTGGCCAGCACTTTAACATACTAACCATGTCGAGGTGGGCCTGTCATAATCTTTCCATTGAAAAACCTGAAGTTTAGAACCCGCTCAACAACAAGGATACTTATTCTAGGAAAAAAATGACCTTTTGGAAGTTGATTTTTTTAGAACATTATTTATGGACATCTGCTTGGAAAAGAAAGCTGAAATGTGAAAATAGCAGATGAGGGGGGCGGTTATCTGGCACAGAACACATAAATGTGACAGGCAGATATAAAACCTAGAGAGGTGAAAGATGGTTCAACCTGGGCTTTAGTAAACCTTGGTCTGATTTCTACTTGTGTCACAGAATTCCTGCGTGACTTCATGTCTCCATGCTTCAGATCCCCTAGCTGCGAATGGTAGGTAACGGCTCTTCCCTGCTTCAGAGAAGAGTTGTGAACGAATGCATTAGAGACTATACAGAGCTTTGGCACTACAGGAATGGAGGCCTCCTAGACAGCTAGAACTTCTGTCCTAAAAGCAGAGTGGACTCTACAGAAACTCCCATGTACCCTAATAGCTTTTGTTTCTTTGTTCATTTGTTTTGGTTTCATTTATTTTTAGCCAAATGTTACAAATATAGCAGGAAAGTTGTTACATTTTAGCCTCATTAATTAAAACTAATAAACCCCAAGTACCTTATGTTTTTCTCAATCAGAATATTATCATCAGTTACACTACACTAACCCTTTTCCATCAAAGAGCAGCCCAGGACCCTCAAATGTAACTCCAGAGTGATCACCTTGGAGTTTCTCCATAAAGTAAAGCTTGCATAAATTTGCAGAACAGATGGCTGCACTGTGAGACAATCCATCAGATGGCTCTGAAGAGTTTAATACAATTAAGGATATGCAATCTGGAAATGCCCCGGGCTCAGACAATTTGTCCAATGATTACTATAAAGCTTTCAAAAACAAACCTGCATAAACTTGGTGATTTCTTGCCAACCGCAAGAGATTCAACCATGAAGGGAAACAAATCAAGCCCCTTAATTCCTTCATGGCATTGTGAGGTAATGGAGAGGTGGGAATAGTAAATATTAGTGAAATATAAACAATTATTATTCATAAATAGTTTGCTGTTACAGTACCTTTTATCTAAGAAACTCAAACATTAATTCTCACAGCACCCCAGAGAAGGCAGCAGTGACACCCGATTTGCAGATGGGGAAACTGAGGCATAGCATTTTGTTAACAGAAAACAGAACCCAGGAGTCTTGCCTTCCTCGCTCTTGTTCTAACCACACTCCTTTTCTCTCCCAACTACCATCAATCCGCATTCCCATTCTGTTGACTTGACAATTCTCGAGTGACTGGCAGCGTCCCAGACTAAAGAAGACAGCTTCCCTTTGACACCAGAAGAGATAGAAGGCTCTTTAGAAGAAGGCACAAAATTCTGGGCACACACACTTCTTATTTCTAAAGGACTATGAACTGAATCATGAAAATACTGTCTTAGAGCATTAACCAACTCCAGTTTCGGTAGCTTTTTAGTAGATGCCCAAAATGTACTTTGCAGTTCTGTTATGCCTAAGCATAGTTGGGGGTTGAAAGAGAAAGAGATGTAGGGGAGATGTAACGTAGGGGAGGTTTCTCTAATCTAAAATGCAGAAGGTGTTGAGTTCATGTTCTTTAATTATTAATATTAAATTTCTGTAAACTCGGCAATCTCTAAAGGGACAGTTGGAGGTACAAGTTGCAGATCTATAGTTAGGATGAGTTGAATTTTGCACTTAAAACGGGGATTCAACCTGTGTTACATTTCCAGACAAACCCTAAGTGAAGAGGGATTTGAGGCCAAGCTATTATATCAGTAACTGAGAGTAAATTACATTATCAGGATGTTGTATTATCCCAAAAACAAGCATTATGAACCCAGGAAATTCAGGGCTATGGTTTATCTTAAAAGAAATCTAAACATACTACAGTATGGAAGGCACAGTGAAGGCACCCATTCCCTGTAATGACACTATGCAATAACAATATGCATATCAGCAATGTATATTAGTGCTCAAAGACTCAGATTAAACTGATTTTAAAAACCACTTGATTTTTCCAATTGTTTCCCCTCTTAGGGTGCGTCTACACAGCAGGGCTTAGCTCAATTTCAAGTTATTTCAAGTTATGCCAATTGTGTAGCTTATTTCGAAATAGCTTATTTTGAAATTGTGAGCATTTATATGACACTTTTTTTGAAATAGAGCACTCTTCCTCTGACTTCCCTTACTCCTTGTACAATAAGACTACGTCTACACTGGCCCCATAAAACGGAATAGTCATGCAAAGCAGGTAAGTCAGAATAGGGAAATCCACGGGGGATTTAAATATCCCCCGCGGATTTAAATAAACATGTCCGCCGCTTTTTTCCCGGGTTGGGGAAAAGCTGGAAAAAAGCGTCTAGACTGGCGCGATCCTCCGGAATAAAGCCCTTTTCCGGAGGATCTCTTATTCCTACTTGAATATGATTGATCTTATCATGATTGATAAGAATATCATGAGAGACCGTATCAAAACCTTACTAAAGTCTAGGTATACCACATCCACGGCTTCTCCCTTATCCACAAGACTCGTTATCCTATCAAAGAAAGCTATCAGTTTCGTTTGACATGATTTGTTCTTTACAAATCCATGCTGGCTGTTCCCTATAACCTTACTACCTACCAAGGGAATGTCTGTCACCAGAGCCATGTAGATTAGTTTACTAGACATACCTAAATGAAGCGGCGATTTAAATAATCGCCACTTCATTTAAATTAAAATGGCTGCCGCGCTGAACTGATCAGCTGTTTGTCGGCTCAGCGAACTAGTCTGGACGCTCCGCGGTCAACATCAAAGGTATTTGTCGACTGCCCCGTTATGCCTTGTGGGATGAGGTTTACCGGGGCGATCGACAAATACCTTTGATGTCAACCGCGGAGCATCCAGACTAGCACGCTGAGCCGTCAAACAGTTGATCGGCTCAGTGCAGCAGCCATTTTAATTTAAATGAAGTGGCGATTATTTAAATCGCCACTTCATTTAGGTATGTCTAGTAAACTAATCTACATGGCTCTGGTGACAGACATTCCCTTGTGCAGATGATTTCCTTCTTCTACCCCCCAATCACATAGCTCAAGTGCAAGAGACATGTCTTGAGGCCAAGACTGCCCATTGTTGACTGCTGAAGATTCGCCTGGGGAAAAATAGTGTTTGATCATGTAATTTAGCTCCATATTCTATTTCATATCCAAAGGGGACTGAATGAAGGCTGCATAGCAGGGGTGGTCAAAAGGGTCTCCGTGGGCGAGATCCGACCCACCAAGCAGGTTGATGCCCTGCCATGACCCTGCCACCCCCGGGCCAATGAGGGCCTAGGGACGGGGGACTGAGCAAAGTCTCCTCTCCCACCGGGGTGCACAGTGCTTAGAATCCACAATCAGGGTTGATTCCAAGTGCCATGCACCCCTTGCAGGGCAGGGAGTGAGAGACTTTGCATACTCTCCTTGCCCCCAGGCCTATCAGGGCCTGAGAGCATAGGGAAG